CCTCCCTCTTCCCCTCCCCCTCCGTCCCCCTTCCCCTCCCCTCCCCCTCCGTCCCCTTCCCCTCCCCTTCCCTCTCCCCCTTCCCCTCCCCCTCCCCCTCCCCTTCCTCCCCCCCCTCTCTCTTGATCTCTCTCTCTCAAATTCTATTTAATGACATAGTTCATAACATAATCATAAGAATTCAAACTTTCGGATACGACTACCACAGTAAAATGATGAAGACACTAACTACCAGGATTTGCAAATTCAACAAAAGGGAAAATCATCAAATTTTGGGTTTAAAAGTTCTGTCCCAGAGTATAGCACAGAAATATGGTTAGATCATAGACAATGAATGCGATAGCATTTCTGTTAAATACAACATACAATGGAGATAAACAAAAGACTTGTCAGAGGTCTTGAGTGAATATTTCTCTAATCAAGGTATGAGTGCTGACCCAGACACTAGTGAGGGGTCCTCACTCCCACCACTGTATTGCTCCACAAATAAGATAACTTTTTCCTTTCAAGCTATTATGCTGGCTATGAAACAAATAAACAAAAATTCAACAACAGAGAAGAAAACAATGAAAGAAAACTAAGGAGGAGGAGATGGAAGGCAAAGACAGAGACTCCACAGTTATAGAAGTTTATAACCTGGAGAAAAGAAGACAGTGCCAAATGGACCTACATCTAAGAAGTGATGGTGCAATCTCAAATCCCCAGCCCCTACCCCTGTGAGGTGGGAGCCCAGCTTGCTTGCAGCGTGACCGTCATTGAATTTTGCAGATCTACTTTTATGGTGAATTAGGATATGTTCAACCCAGTGTTTTTCCAACTAGACATCCTAGGGCCACAATTCTCAGGAGGTTCTTTTGAGGAAAAAGGAAAAAAGAATTGATCTTCTAAAGGGAGAACAGACGTTAAAGGGACAGATACATTCCACACTGCTCATTCTTTTCAACTCATTTGACCTTGTCTTCCAATTTTATACAATACCTTCCAAAGTCCTCTTTCTGTGAAGTCTTCTTTTATAAAATAAGATCAGGCTGCTGGAAAGAATGGGTTTTGAAATTAGCTCTGTATGCTGAAACTTTGTCCAGCAGATATATTATGACACCTATTTCTGCTTCCATGAAAGGACCTGTTCTCTTCAATCCATCTTCCTAATACAAAAGTTTATAATAGAAAAATACTTAAAAGTAGATTTGGCCTTCATATTTCTAATTAAAAATAGTTGAAACAATCGAACGTGCACTTATGAACTTCCATGGCTCAGGTAAAGTGTGTTTTCTTCTCAGTTCCTTATTATGCATAGATTTTAGTGTATAAAATTGAGTAAACCATCTGCTTGAATGAATTACCGGCTTAGGACTTTTTCACACTGACCTGTTGGTCTCCTGGGGTCTTTGAGTATATGTAACTTCACTACAAAGCTACATTTTTTTTAAAGTAATTCATTCTCTTTTTCCTTTCCACCCAGCATGAATAATTGAGAATTCATGGTATTATGGATTTTTAAATGTCAGGGATTGTAAAGCTGTCTTGCTTATTACAGTAAAACTTCATTAGAGGCTATCATGTATTCAAAGTAGTGTGTAATTCAAAGCAGCTGGGTATCCCAGCTCCCTCTTCCAGATGTACTATTGTCCTCTAAATAAAAATATCATACAAGCCAAGGACTCTATAGTCAAGCCTTGTTTCTAGGTGCCCGAAATCTTGATAACTGTATCCCAATAAAGTTATTATATTCTATTGCCATGGAACACAACAACAACGACAATAACAACAAAGTGCACTTTCCTACTGATCCACGTATTCCTCAGGGCACTGGCCTCTAGTCAAGCAATGACTTCTCAGGCCTGGGTCATATACCAACTTTCTACAGCCTTATAGGTTAGCATTGCTTTTTAGAGATATGTCAAGATCACAGTTCTTTATATTGAAATGCTTTGGTTCACAGTAGGTAAGAATCCTCTGTCTTTTGCTGCTGGGGCAAAACATTCATGTGTGAGCCTGTGTTACTTCAGTATTTCCTTCTTTTATTCATGGAATGTGATCTTTTTGTAGTTGCACGTCATAAGTAGTGATAGTTTTAAAATAAGAAACCCAAGCTTCCATTGCTCTTTCTAGAGACGTTAAGAGTAAGACCAGTAAGATCAAGTGACCATGGAAAAAAGGAGCATAAATTGTGCACTGCAAAGGATCAGGACAGGAGAAAACCTCATGAAAAATATTATGTTAGCCCACAGTATCCAAGGACAAACTTAAACCAAGGTTAAGCTATTTTTGTGTCCTTCTGTCTCAGTATAATATGTTTCTATCAGCCTGGACTTCTCTGTCATCCTTACTTTTGCGAATCACTTTTTACAAAGAGAACGATAAAATTCACCTTTACATAAACTCTTACGTATCAGAGGTAAAGCTTCTAAGACTCTAAGCTTACGGTTTTGGCACATGGACCTCCCAGAGCTGAGAGGAGAACAGAGGTTAGCAGAAAGTGTGTTTAGGATCAATGCCACCCACCATCAGGGAAGCAATCAGAGGGAGACCACAGCAGCTAAACCTCAGATAGAACAATAAATGACTTCAATCAGGTGAGTTCCAAGGAGCCTTTCCGAGGCTATGACTCAGCCCGAGTAAGCACTCACTCAGAAAGCCTGGCAGAGCAGTGGTCACTCCATGTACAGAGCACAGGAACCTGACCTCCCACAAAGCCTGTAACATCTTTGGTAGAAAGAAGCACATACGTTGTGGAATTTAAGCATGTTGGACTAGAAAAAGCAATCTAACTTATCAACACAGACAGTGTCTTTTGTCTACATCAATGAGGACCACCAAGTACAGGGTGTGTCCGGCACACTGGTACTGATGAAGGGAGAGAAAAGCACCAAAGCTTCATCACCTTCCTGGAGTCCTGTCTCATTACAGCCAGACAAGTCTTATAACTTCCTTTCACTTATAAAATCCTTTCACTGCGTGAGCAACTAAACTCTCTTGGAAAGAATCCAACCTGAGCCACCTCTCCAGGAGTCTCCAAGGAGGTAACATGACACTTCAGCTTTTACAAAAAAACAGTGTCTACATGTGATGAATATGTCATTAAGACAGTTTGTAGGATGCTAAAGGATTACTTTTCTTATCAGGGCACATAGCCTTGTGTATATGTTCGGAGGGGCAATCCATCATTTCAAGGGAGTGTCTGGCCTCTGCTACAGAGTTTATCATGTGATGGTATAAGACACAGTAAGGCTGATAACGGACACCGGAATTATACTGAGTAGCAAGAGCAAGAACCCAGATGGTAGATAGGTCTTACCCAGGACTTAGTGTAAAATCAGTAGCTAAACAATCAATATGTGTGAAAGAGACAAAAATCCAATTTTACCTTCAAACGTTGTGGTGCGCACTAAAAATAAAATCTGTTGATAAAAACATGACTTGTCAGTTGGATGCCTCAACTATCCTCTGGGAACACAAGCAAATAGAAATATCGAAGCCAGGATGCTTTAAATATCCTCCTTACTGCCACCTGCTTTGCCCACCCACCAGCTTCCTTCAGATCCTGTTGCTCCCAAGGTGCTCTTTGCTCAGCTCTGCCCTCAGTGATGCACTAGTGTAAATAGATGGGTCAGTGGTGTCAGGGCTATTAGAGGGGTCTCTTCAAGTGGCTGGGATGCTTAGCACCAGGCAGGATAGGTTTCTGTGTTCCCAAGAGAGGATAGCTCTTTTCAGATCCTGCCTGTGGATCTATGAAGCAAGTGAAATCTGACTTGGCCCAGCTTCTTGCTAAAGACTTCTCTGCATTAAAAGCATAACTCACGTTTATTGTAAATGGCGTCATGCCCGTGAGCTCCAGAGCAAATTCACAGTGGCTAGCAAGGGCTTTCCTTGATGGATAACCCCCTCCCCGCCCCAGTCCTAACGAGTGAGGCCAGGAGAAAATTCATCTAGGGATTTGGACAGAATGGAGAGAGCACTGGAGAGACAGCCTCGACCCGTGAACATTCCTGACTGTTCTTCAACCCAAGTGTGGAAGGCAGACTTTTCAATCACTTTCCCTTAATCCTGAAGGTAATGTACACAAGCCCTGGTGCATCCTTAACCCAGATCAACAGTGAGTGTCCAGAAAGTTTGCCCTCAAGCTGTTAGAGTAAGCTGTTCAGCACAGGAGCTGGCAGGGGTGGGGCGGGGTGGCGTTAAACCATGAATTTCAGCCTCAAGGATCTGTGTTGAAAAAAAAAAGGTGATGGTGGTGGTGGGGGGAGATGAGAAGATTTTCATTGCTGATACTATGAGATGTTTATTCTCCACCAGCGATCTCTTCCCAAGCTAAATCTTTCCCAGCTTGGACCACGCAAGACTTATTTGCCCAGATGGGTTAAAAATAATCTCAACACTCACGCACCTGGCTTTGTTTGTGTGTTTGCCACTAGGGGACTATCAAGAAGAAAGTGTCAGATAGAGCAACACAAAGGTCACTGAGTTAAGAGTGAGCACTGTGTCAGGATAAGTGCCTGTTGAGTGCACTTTTCTCTCTGGGTCCAGGGTTGGCATAAAATGGCATTCACTTCGATCTAAATGCTGCCAAAGCCGGTCGGAGGGAATTTCCGCTGAGCAGTTTAATCATCAGCATAAGATTTCCCTAGGGGTGCCCGGAAGTGTCTTCCCTTGGCCTCTTCCCTGCTGCACCTCTAACTAAGCCACTGTCTCGGCTGGACTCAAACAGCTTATGCGGAACGCCCTTGGAGAATTCCGAGAGTGCAGAGGGGACCGGAGAGCAGCCTACTGGAAAAGTCCCTATAGAGTACTGTGGAGAGACAGCGGAGTGTCCCGGCGGGAGGGGCTGTCCTCTGCACCGGGGTGGGATGGGCTCCCTCTCCTCCCCACTCACCTGCGGCTGCGGCTCTGAAGCTGCGGACCGTGTTACCACCGCGCAGGGGCTGGGGACCCGGGAGCTGCGAGCCCGGGGTCCTGGCAGCCTGGTCTCTGCTGCTGCCGCTGTACCTGTCGTAGAGCCACAGCATATGCTCCGACACCTTGTCATGTGGCCGCAGGTCAGGGCTCGGGCCACCACCTGTCGTGCGGTCGCTTGGCTCAGTCCGGCCGAGTCCCGGGAGGTGCAAGTTTGGTCTCTGTCCCTGTGCCAGGTTCAGGCAGAAGCAACTTAGCCACAGACACAGCAGCCCGCGCGCCCCGGCCATGGCGAAGTCCCGCTGTCGTGCCGCGCTACTTCGGGTCGCCCGGGACACTCCGGAGACGGAAAGGGACGGCGGCAGAGCCGGGGTGCCGCTCAGGCTGCGGAGCGGACGCTGGGAGCCGGGCACAGCTGGAGCGGGGCCGCAAGGGTCGGCAGGTGGGCTCTGGGTGGCAGCCGCGCCCGCTCAGCTCCCCTCGCAGGCCGGAGGGCGGACGGTCTGGGCGAGCACAGCCGAGTTGTCAAGCGCGGGCTCTCCCTTCCGCGCCACCTGAGACTGGGAACACCCGGCCGGGCGGCCGCTTTGGGGATCTGGATCTGCGCTTCACCAGCCTGGGACGCGCGCCGGGGCGGGGTGTGCGCGGTCGCAGCCAGCTGAGTTCTGAGAGGGGTGTGTGTGTGTGTGTGTGTGTGTGTGTGTGTGTGTACAGAGACAGAGAAAGAGACAGAGGGACACAGAGAGACACAAAGACACAGAGACACAGAGACACAGAGACAGCGACAAACAGAGAAACAGAGACAGAGAGGCAGACTGGTTCTGTTCCTTCTTGCCCTGATCCGATCTGTCTGGTCCGCCTGTGGCCAAGTTCTCCCTCTTGCCTTTAGCTCGCTCTCCTAAGGCAGCTGGGAAAGGACTACCTCCAGAAGAGAGAGAAGCCTGGAGCAAAGTAACCAGGGAACCAGAACCAGAAGGGTAGGGAGAGACAAGGGAGGGCGCACGGGGAGGGGCAGGTGGCGCTGGAGGGGGGAGGATAGAGGGAGAGTAGGAGGGACTTTTAAAAAAATCTGAGCACAGTGGCTACATTCCTGCTAGCAAAAATGCAGAGACAAATAGAAGAGTTTCTTCCTTTTTTGTTTGTTTTTCCCTTTGTTGTGAAGTTTTTTTGCTATTGTAGTTTGCTTTGTATTCTGATTCCAAATAAAATCATCACTATATGAACACCACGCTTGGCTACTTTCCTGGGACACTTGGCCGGGGGTGAGGGGTGGGGTGTGTGGCTGTGAACTCAGACACCTGCGCTGTCCTTCTAGAGCTTCTCTGTCAGAGTGCTTCTTTTTCGCATATACCCCCATCTTCTTCTGAGGAGATAAACAAAATGAAATTCCATCTCATGTTTAAAACAGATAAGCTAACTACCACAAGCACTCTCACTCTGTCAGACACACACCACCACCACTCACCACCCCTCAATAGGTCTCCTCGAAGACCGCTGAAGAGAGAGTGAGTCACAGGCTTCAGAAGAACCTGGTGTGCAGACTTGAATGTAACTAGTTCTGTTGTCCAAGCTACCCCAGTGTCCTAGGGTGTCAAAGAGACATTAAACTATTAGCCAGCACTGTGGCTGCAAATATCATATCCTAAGTACTTGCCATCCCCCATGTCCAGACACGGTTTCATGAACTCGGACTTCAACTGCTTCAACCTCCTCAGCATTTGGGATTACAGGCATATATCAGAAATTATGGGTGGTAGGCAATGTGTGTTGTTTTCAATGAACCTTCAAGACAAAGCCCATGTTGCAGACTAAAAGACTGAGAGAAAATGTGATACCTAGCAGGTGGCAGAACTGAACTCCAAACCCAGGGAGCCGGGACGTCTACTCTAGGAATTCTACACTCTTAAGAATGAAAGTAACATTTAAATTGCCATGGTTCCTGGTAGTAAGAGTCTCAATCAGTGTCCCTTTTGGAAAACTGTCCCATCTCTGGGACATTGACATTTTTGAAAAGAAACAGGTTCACAGGTCACAACGAGTCTTCAACACTTAGTTTATCCTTTATTGGGGGAGTAATAATAAATCCTCGTAGAGTTTTGTGGAATAGTTCTAGGATCCAGTACTCAGTGAGTGGCACATGTCTAGTCTTTAGTAGAGACTCAATCCTTTTTATTTCAAATTATCCCAAATGTGTCCCAAATGCAGACCACAATCTCCATCCCCCCTACCCAGCTGCTTCTCCACCCACTGTTCTGCCGTTTGAATTTTGCCCCTAGCCACCCTGGGAAAAGCTCTGCAGATAATAACATAGACTTCAAGAGTGGTCGAGAGACTCCAATGAGATCGTGTGGGTGAGCTTCGCCTGGCATAGAATACATAATAGCTTTTGTGATTAATAATAAAAACCTAATTGCAAAATTCAATAGGCACTGGAAGCTAACCCTTTGATATCCCCTGTGAGCCTTTGTGTTCCCTCCTCTTTCTGCTCTTTCTCAGTTGTGTGAAATGTTCTCGCAGCTTCATGCTCTGCCTTGAAGCCAGGCCAGATGGAGAGGAAAATCCTCCATTCTTCCTGCTTCAGGTGGTCGCTGTGACCCGGCGGCGGCGGTGTAGAGTTTCTCACAGCCAGAGCCCTCAGTATGAAATGTCCATACCCTTACATAAATGTCCATAATCTTACGTAATCATGAAGCTTTAAGAGTCTTCTTTCTATAGGGTACCATGAGGATGGCAGGTACTATTAGGGGCTTACACAAGCTTTGCGGGGGGGGCAGCATGGTGAATTGGCAGAGTCAGCCACCACATTGGCGTCTGGTGGTTGCAGGGCCGCTGTTTCTAGATAGCCAGAGCCGCAGTCCACAGCCAGAGCAGTGGGAAGGTGACGGCTGCCCGTGAACAAGCCAGACAGTGCCGAATTCTAAATATCTCTCGTTTCAGGAAGCCAGAAAAAAGCTATGAGTTCAAAGCCACCCTAGTCTGTGTAGCTAGACTAAGACTCTTCCAGAGGAGAGGGAAGAGGGAGGGAGGGAGCAAAAGAGGGTAGGAGGGAGTAAGACTGTTGGTAATGAGGAGTGGAATATTAACATAGTTCCCAAAATACTTCAATTGCTTAGGAAGAGTTGGCTGAGAGCTAGGAGAAGTGCCCATCAGTTTGTTCTCAAACAGATATTAAATCACATCCATCTTTATATTTTAGTGGCCAACTATTAAATTCAAAACAAGCAAAGTGACAGGGAGGTGTTCAGTTGAGTGGAGTGATCCCTATTAGGGACTGTCAGCCATAATCAAAGACTAGAATAGAACCTGGATATGGAAACCATCGAACCAAGTGAGTAACACTAGGAAAATCTAAACCCGAAACCATTTTGCATCATGTACACAAATGCCCCATGAACCACTGGGCCATAGAGGAAACAGGTACACAAATGCCCCGAGAACGGCTGGGCCATAAAGGACACAGGGAACCCAGGAGCAGTGTGTCTAGCAAAGACAAATAGAGGCACCCATGCCAATCTCTGAAGCAACTCTTAGGGAATTGATTTGAAAGCAAATTTCATTGGAAATGAACTGCTCCTTTATCAGCACTCCTGAGGTTGCATCTGTGAGGTACTTCAAGACAGCAGGACAGTGATTTCTTCCCTCAGTGCCACAGAATCTCAGAGCTGTTCTTCTAAATAGTTTCAGGATGTTGGTATCTTTTGATGCAAGCTCTTTCAGAACAATAAACAACTAGATCATAGGCTGCCTATTTCTGGTCAGCGTCGTGTTTAGCATTTCTTCTTTTACCGAGGGAACTTCAGAGCTCAATATATCACTGGTAAAATATATCACTGGTCTTATGTCTGATTGCTCTATTATGTCAGGTTGAGTTGTTTTAATTTTGGTTTGTTTAGATGGTTTTTCAAGACAGGGTTTCTCTGTACTGCCCTGGCTGTTCTGGAGCTTGTTGTGTAGACCAGGGTGGCCTCAAACTCACAAGAGAGCTGCCTGCCTCTGCCTCCTGAGTGCTGGGGTTAAAAACTGCACCACCATGCCCAGCATGTCATTTTTAATTCTTTCTTTAAAAATTGTATATTTTCTTTATTTACATTTCAAATGTTATCCACTTTCCAGTTCTCCCCTGTGGAAACCCCTATACCATCCCCTTTGCCTCTCTGAGAGTGCTCCCCCACCCACACACTCCTGCCTTGCAGTCTTGGCATTCCCCTACACTGGGGCATGGAACCCCCACAGGACCAAGGGCCACTCCTCCCACTGATGTCCAACAAGGGGCTGCAAACCCCCTCAGCTCCTTCATTCCCTTCTCCAACTCCTCCATCTGGTTCACAATTGTGCTTTATGCTACTGTTACTGTTTCAATCAGCTACTGAGATAGGGACAGATTCTCCTTTTTTTTTTTCCTTAAATACAAAGAGTTAAAAGAAAGGCTTTCTCATTGCTACAAACCACAGCAAACCACAGTTTGTATTTTAGTGGAGCTTGTTGAGTTGGACTCTACTTTTAGCTACAAAAGCCTAGATCTGTATGTGTGAATGTGCATTCTGAATATATATATATATGTATATGCATTCTTGAGCACTATGAGCATTCATATACTAAAATCTCTCCATCAGAATGGTTATTGAATACTGACTCGGATAGCTGTGATAACCCACATAAGATTTTCAAGAACATTTCTCTGTGGATATGGAGGAGGTATTTTGAGGAGCAGGTAGCACATGAGGCCCCACTCTGCTCCTTGTGAAAATGTAAGTGGTTAGTGATTTGGAGCAAGGGCTCTTTTGTTTTTTTTAAACAATGTAGCTAGCCACTTGTAAGTTAGTTGCTTAGGCTCTTGTAGATAGCCCCTTACCCGCACTCCACAGTTAAATGAGCTGGCTTGGACAGAGTTGTTTGTGTTGGTCTGTCATTGGTGCCCTGAAGTGAACCCTCATTTGTCCCCGCAGCCCCAGGAGAGTTAACATATCATGTAAGGCTGCATTTGCAGCTGTGGGGCCTGGCTCCTGTCTTTTTTTATGTCTCCATCTTTGTTTCATCCCTCCAGTAAATATTTAGCATCTGTTTTGATCGTGACACTTAATTTAGTGTCGAGAGTAAGACGATGATATCATAATGGTGTCTCTTCTGGGAAAAGAGTCTTCCAGGGACATGGGATAGCTTATTAATTAACTTTGGAAAAATTGATGTGATTTTAATTGATAGTGATTTTTTTCTGTTAATCATAAAAGACACACTGCACAGAAAGAGTGACATCAAACAGTTTCAAAGTTAAGAAGGAGATTTTTAGAAA